ATGTAATGCGTCTATCTCATATATTGGTTTCACCTTTTGAGTTGCCGTACTGACATAAATGTACATTTGCACGATATTCTAATTTTTTGAGTTTCACCTGTATATATTGCTAAACTACTTTGATTCTGATAAATTTAGCAGAACAGGAAATAGTGACTTTTTTCTAAAACAAATTTAGATTTTTAATTCAAATATCTGTTCTTATATGTCCTTCACTATAAAAAGGATATCCTTGATATTTTTTTTAACCTATCATCTGCTTTTAACTCATTATTCAAAAATTACTTGTTTGACAAAAAAAACTGCAACGATTATTTGTTTAATATTACCCACCTTCAAAAGTATGAGAATAGCCAAACCATTATTTTTAAAATAAGGCTTCATACTAATGTTCACTAACTTGAGAATTGGTATTGCTAACCTACATGAAAGGTAATGCTAAGTAAACATACAGAATTGCATTTATATGTTTATGAAAACAGAAAAGAACAGGAACATTTTTTTTAAAAAGTCACAGCAGATTTTTTTTACATGATAACATATTCCAATAAAGGTTTTTATTAAATATGTTTAATAATAAGCATAAGAAATTCATTGTTTTTAGAATTACTTACCACCTAAACATTTATTGTAAAACAATGGAATATATTATTAAAATAAAACTCACAATATTTTTACAACTCTGAAGTAATGGGAAAAGGTTGGAGAAGGAGAAATGAAGCATTTGGTCTTCTGGTAGCTAGGTGGATAAATTTAAATCTAACGCTATTAGCTTCTAGAAAGGCAAACCACTGGAAAATAATTTCCTTTCTTTAATATCACTATTCTATCATTCTGACCTTTTCAAGCACCTAACTTTAGATGAAAATTAGGTTTTGCCTAGTTATTTTTCTTGGATGGTTATTTAACTAATGAAGGAAAAACTCACTTTGAGGTGTTAAATATTCTGCATGAAACCAACTTGGCACTCATTTAACCTGTACATACATTTTAGAGGTGCAAATGTAAATGTCAGTGCTATAATTTGTTAAAGGCTTCTGACAACTAGTAAGTCAAGTCACCACAAGTTCTCACAATTCAAACCACTTTTACGTAAATGTGAGCTTTTCTTAAAAACAGATAAATAAAAGACCTTTCCATTCAGGCTGAATGAAGCCTTTAAAAGAATGAAGCTTTCAGACTAGTAAAGTTAAGAAACTATTAGAAATAGCATGCTTCTTTGATCTGTTTTTTTTAAAAATCGCACAAATTAACATGGTTTAGCCCAATATTTTTGTCACGAGCAGTGAGAGGTTTCTCCTTTCCTTGATATAAAAGTTGTAGTAAATGTAACTTTAAAGAGCTTTACTTACCAGACATGAAGCTGTGCTATTAAAAACCAAGAGTTGAAAGTGTCAGGCATCTGTAATCCTTAAAAATGAATGTGATGAGTGCAAACATATTTCACTACTTAAAGTTAACATTTTAACCTTATTAACATATTAAAAAGATACACAAATTGGCTTGCACACCCATCCACTGCATATACACAGAGGAAAGTCTGTACATATGCATGTGCATACCCAAGATAATTCTTGGGTAACTAGGTTTCACATAAGCCTATGAAACTTGAGAGGAGCTGGAGGAGATTAGAGCTTTGGAGGAACTGGTGGTGGTGGTGGTGGATAAAAACTTCCATGTATATTAACATGGTGAGTCAGTATTTTAATGTTTGAGTCAGTAGGGAATATGTTGGGCTCAGCAATTTGCCTTTTGATAAAGTAGTGCTGTATGACAAACCACACCCACCACACAGCCATTTTGTGAACAGGCAACTTCTACCATGGCAGCCATTTTCTCTGAGTATACATGACATGCCCTTGAAACACCAAGCCTACCCATTCGCTCAACCAGTTTGGGTCCTTTGTTCTAAACTCTCAAAATAATGGGTTCTTTACTGGCTGAGAGTGAGAGAAAGTGATAGGGGTGTGAAGAATCATAATAGATTTTAACACATTACAACTGATAATTGATAAAGTACTTGTAATCTATCTCCCATGAAACCTTCATCTGCATAACTGACCTGTCTCCCTCCTCCATCCCAATGTATCTTACCTCAGTTAAGCTATTCCATGTATCTGATGAAGTGAGCAGCAGCTCACAAAAGCTTATGCCTTAGAATAAAATTTGTTAACCTCAGTGAACAGAGAAATCAGTGCCCTGATTACTTGTAACAAGTTTTTTATATATATATACTTGATTTAAAGAAGATGTTGATTAGATATAAATAATCTCTTTCATCTCCTTTTCAGTATGCAATATGTGTGTAATTGTCCTTGTTTCACAGCAACTCAGAGGAGGCAAGTGGCAAGATCTGAGTTTTGTAAGCGATCCTATTTCTGTCATAATCACAGGATAGAGATATAAAAGAAGAGAACAAAAGAGAAGAGATAGAGAACTTACTGTTAAAGAATTCTTCATAGTCTATTTTCTCCACGCAACATGTGTACATGCGCAGTGCTGCTATTCTAATTTTCTGAATAGAAAAGACAATGACGCTTGAAACAATGTTATATCATTACTATTTTTCATTAAAGAAACTTCTTCAACAAAAGAAATATACAAATGTTCCTCTACATTTTTAGATATTCAAATATATTGTTTATTATTAGCTAAATATGAATTATTGCACCAAAATATATTAAACTAGTTACATTTCCTTTGATTCAATATTCAGTTTAGAATAACTTAATTAGCAATATTCCATTTTCACTATCAGATTCTTTCAAATGCATTTAATCTCTAAGTCGTTTAGCTTCCCAATCTAAACTGAATTTAAGAGAATTTTGAATAATTACACTGAGTTTTAAAGCATTAACAATCCTCTTCCATTATAACTACAGATCAGGCAGGCAAATTCATAATCAATGTGTTTGCATAATTGTATTGAGAAATCACTCATCTGATCTTATTATAATTTTTTCCTATTCTAAACATGCCAATTCTTCATTGACATCATCATCACAAAAGCAGAAGGGTCATTTACACCACTGAGTCCAACTCCAAGAATCAAGTTCAAGAATCCAAATTGAAATATTCTCGTCATAAGGATTTTATCCTATTACTTAACTGGAATCTGCTTTCCTTTAACTTAAGAGCATTACTCCCTGTCCTGCACTCTGTGGCTAGATAGTCATCTATCAGGGATAGTGTAGTGAATCCTGCAGTGTGCACTTGTTGGACTTGCTAACCTCTAGGTCCCTTCCAGCTCTATGATTCAATGACAGTAAACATTCTTGACTTTATCTGAAGCATCCCTTCAGGTACATAAAAAGTGGTATAATCTTCTCAAGAAACCTAACAGATACAATACCCTTAGTCTTTCCTTGAAAGACTTAATTTCCAGTTACCTTATCTGATTTATATAAAAACAATATAAATCTCCCCTTCATGGATCACTGCCTTGTTGTGGCAAAGGGGCTTGCGTAACTCAGTGAAGCCAT